TATGTATAGAATGTGATATAAATTTTATGTTTATTGACCGTTTAAAATATATTATGGGTCATGCATACATAACATTCATGCAGATTATTGCTCTTGTGTGCATAAACCTAAACCATTCAATTGCCATCAAAGTATGTACATGTTTAAGTAACTCAATAAGGTCGCTTTTTTGTGGTTACCCGTCCAACCCATTCGTGGCTAGATACATAATACTCCGTTGCATATATACTTACATACATACATGTACGTTTGTGTAAGCATAGTCATGATTTTTGAAAATGGTATATAAAGTACAAACTATAATAAATCTGTCATCAGTTCAATTTTGCTCTACTTAAGTAAAACAACTACTAAACAAACGCAAACAATCAAAATGTTCAAATACGTAAGTGAAAATTCCTTAATTAATTATTTCGCAATTCTTTCAACTCCACATATGAATAGTGGAATTTAATGCTAATTGAAATAATCCTTTATTAAATATTCTCTCCTTTCACAGTTCGCACTCGTTTTTGTGGCCCTCTTCGCCTTCGCTGCTGCTGAGCCTAAACCCAGTGTCATCGCCGCGCCATTCGCATACTCTGCTCCATTGGTGGCCTCGCCCTACGCTGCTGCATATGCTGCCCCTTACGCTGCTTACGCCGCCGCTCCTTATGCCGCCTACGCTTCACCCTATGCTGCCTACTCCGCTTACCCCTACAGCCCCTACAGCGCCGCCTATGTGCTCCGCAAGTAAATGAAATGTAGCCGAGGAAGACTGAACTGACTGCTTTACAAATATTTTTAGAAAAAATAAAAGAAACTCATTAATGATACAAAAAAATCAACTGTATATTTAATCGAACTATTCCAGGATGCAGTTTCCTTCATTTGTTGTAGTTTAGTAAATCAGTACATCAATAGGGATGTTATGAATGTCACTACACCTCGTGAGGTTCTTTATTCTAACTTAAAAAAAAAAACATTACATTTACGACAGATTCAATAAAACTGTTCCGAGTAGCTTTTCAATAGTTCTAGAGTTCTCGAAAAGGAAAAAAAATATTTCCGTCGAAAAAAAATTTTTTTCAAAAAAGGGGAAAAAGTTCCATGTTTGAAAAAACTAAAAATTAAAACTGTTTAGAGTAACTTTTCAATGGCTCGAGAGTTCCTGATAAGGAAAAAAAATTCTGCAAAATTAAGTAAATTTTTTATTTTTCAAAAAAATCGAAAAAGTTTGATGCTTGCAAAAACTAAAAATTAACACTGTTCTGAGTAGCTTTTCAATATTTCTACAGTTCCTGATAAGCAAAAAACAGTTCTGAGAAATCCGCCGAAGAAAATCTTTATTCAAATAAGGCGAAAAAGTTTTTTTTTTTTTAAATTTAGAAAGTTTAATGTTTGACAAATATAAAAATTTAAACTGTTCTGAGTAGCTTTTCCATAGTTCCAGAGTTGCTGAAAAGAAAACGAATAATTCAGCAAAATTACCCCCATTGATCTTAAAACATTGTGCGATCGTGCATATGAAAGCTTATTTCATTTAATTTTGAATGCCGTATAGCAATTGCATGAAATCAGAATTGAAGCAAACTTCCTTGTGGAATAGATGACATTCTTTAGTTTTGAAATTTTTTTTATTTAATTTTTATAAGCCATTTTGGATCCATCATTTTGATTTAATAAAATTGCCACACAGCGTTCAAAAGTAAATGAAATAACTTAGGGCATCCCGTCCAAAACGAATGACCATTAATAATCACATATAGCTACATACATATTTGTCTTTTCAATTTAAAAATCTTCAGGAAGTTTTCAAATAGAGTGTTCATATTAGAGGCAATGCACGCTGGCATCAAATCCAATACATCTGTGAAGTTTCCAGAGTGTGGCACCCAAACAAAAAAATAAATAAAAAATGCCAGCATGCAGAATATCTGTCGCAGGTTTTTTGTAATATTTGAAACTTTAAGATTTTTCAAATTTTAATAATTTAAGGCATGATACAAAAAAGAAGGTAGTTTCATTTAATGACATTCGTTGTTGTTGTTAACCATTTGACTTTTAATAAAATGATGACACTTCATTAAATTCGTGCTACNCTGTAAATTAATGCATAATCTCAAAAATGGGGTTGACGTAACTAGGTTTCAGAACGGATGAAGAAAGTGATCAAAGTTATACTTATGCTAATTGCTTATCGGAGGTCGGTCCGCGCAAGCCGAATTCAAGTTTTTTGCGTACAATGGAAATTTTAAATTCGCAATTTGTTGATGTTAATGGTGATACGCTAACCACAAAGCCTAATTTTTT